CTCCTGCCTCAGCCTCCCAAGTAGCTGGGACCACAGGCGCCCGCCACAACACCCGGCTGTTTTTTGGTTGCAGCATCATTGTTATTTGGCGGGCCTGGGCTGGATTCGAACCCACGTGGCTGGCACCTTAGCCACTTGAGCCACAGGCGCTGAGCCTTTTTTTTGTTTGTTTTTGACAGTATCTTCCCTTTGAAAGGAGTTTCCTGATTTGTAAATCAAAATGGAAATTTTGCTGCTTTTTGGCTGGGTGTAGTGGTTCATACCTGGGATCCTATCACTTTGGGAACCCAAAGCAGGAGGATTGCTTGAGGCCAGGAGTTTGAAGCTAGCCTGGGCAATATAGTGAGACCCTATCTCTACCAGAAACAATAGAAAAATTAGCCAGATGTGGTGGTGTGCACCTGTAGACCTAGCTAGTTGGGAGGCTGAGGCAGGAGGATTACCGAAGTCCAGGAGTGTGAGGCTACCATGAGCTGTGATCATCCCACTGCACTCCACCCCAGTGACAGAGTGAAATCCTAAATCAAAAATAAATAAATACATAAGTAAGTATTGTTTTCTAATACATGAGATGAATTGTCATAAAAATGCCAAAAGATTAACAATTTATATATGAGAAATTTTATTTTACATTCAGATATAAACCTCCTGGATTAAATTTTAACTCCTAGACATAAACCTCCCAGATGTTTAGCTAAAGGAATATGTTTAATCTAGTAACTGCTCTATAAAGAATATGCAAGACTGGGCAGCGCCTGTGGCTCAGTGAGTAAGGCACCAGTCCCATATACCAAGGGTGGTGGGTTTGAACCCATTCCGGCCAAACTGCAACAAAAGAATAGCCAGGCATCGTGGCACGTGCCTATAGTCCCAGCTACTTGGGAGGCTGAGGCAAGAGAATCACCCAAGCCCAAGAGCTGGAGGTTGCTGTGAGCTGTAACGCTACAGCACTCTACTGAGGGTGACAAAGTGAGACTCTGTCTCTTTAAAAAAAAAAAAAAAATGAGAGACTGGACTTTGGTACTTTAGAATTGATCTTAAATGATTACATGGCAACAATTTAGTCATTACAGTTCCTCTTGGTGATGGATAACCATTTGCTTCTCACCTTTGAGGTTAGGATTCAGAAGTAGGGTTGACAGCAGCTTATGCTGCCACCTTCCTCAAGAGGAATCCCAAGTTGCTGCCTTAGCTCCTGTCAGGTGGAAGGCTCTGTGGCCCAGCTGGCCCCACTGGTGCTCCTGGAAGGGCCTGGATGTCTTTGCAGCAAGAGGCCTTGCAAGGCCTGCATTAGAGAAACCATGGATATACTTTAAATCCTGTGTCTCTCCAGTGACCTGGACCACAGAATTGAGGCCATCCTTTACCACCTCTGATGGCCACTTATTCTCACAAATGTGACTTGGGGAGCATCCTCCAGAGTTATAGAAGGTGGAATGAGTTAGTCACACAGGAGACTGAAAGTGGCCATAAATCACAGGCACTGGGGCCGAATTAGCTTTTTGGGGTATTCCTTCATCCTGTGTGACAGGTATAAGTGCCCACCTGGCAGTCTGGGAGTGGGGACATACTCTGTGACTGATGCAATGCCTGACCCTATATCACAGTCTTCCACAGGCCCTGGTCATGGCACTTCGGCACTTTCCATGAGGGACTGTGAGGGATGATGAGCCTTTTCTTGACAGAAAGAAAAACAGACTTCATTCATTAGGTGGTTTATTTGCTATGGATGATACGTTTTCATATTTTCCACAGTAACTGAACTGATTTGTTTGTGTAGACTTGATTTGGGGTTTTCAGTTCACCATCTTATTTATCTTGGTGCCGTGTGGTAGTACCGCTGTGCATGGCTATGGCACATGTGCCTGTGGCTGATGCACCTGCAACCTGTGCTTGCAGGCAGTGTCCTCCAGATCGTGTCTGCCCCTGGGCAGCCCTACCTACGAGCCCCCGGCCCTGTGGTGATGCAGACCGTGTCGCAGGCAGGTGCTGTGCACAGCGCCCTGGGAAGCAAGCCCCCAGCTGGTGGCCCTGGCACCGCTCCCCCAGCCCCACAAGGTAGGGTGCGATGAACAGCAGGGAGTCTTGGCTCGAGCTTCTTTCTGACCTTCTTTTCCTTTTAAGGTAACTAGAAGGCATTTGTGTGTCTGACTACCACGCTTTAGGACATCAGGCTATATTTGTGACTGTCTCTGATGTCCACAGATGTGCTGTGGTGTCACCTGGATTTATTTTCTTTCTCTTGTGCTTTCAAAGGCATTGGTTGACTATAAGCAGCCTCTACTCTCCTTAGATTTTTAAAAAATTTTGTTCTAACAGAAGACTTTCAGAATCATGAGGAATTTTGCATGCCAGTGTGTCACAAATGCATTTAGTGAGTGTGCTCGGGGCTTCCCCTGGGAACAGGGTACCTGTGACTGCTTGTGCAGGATTTGGATTCTTTCCTATCTGGCCTCTACACTTGCCTCCCAGCTCATCCTGTCCCACAACCTAGCATGCTCTGTCCTGATGTGTTATATCCTTGGGGACACAGAACCAGGTAGCTGTGAGGTGCACCTCTTGCTGGGGCCCTCGGCACTATGTCCTGGTTGCTCAGTGGATTCCAGGATTCTTTCAGCTCTGCTCTCCACCCCCACCAGCATTGTCTAGAGGGTGCTGAGTGGGGCTACCATGAACCACAGTGGGCAGTGCTAGTCATGTCAGAGGAGCTGCAAGGCTGGCCTGGGGAGAGGACAGCACTCAGCTGCTATTCTGCATCCCAGCGTGGCCCCCGGCTCCACTTGCCAGGCATTCTCCACTACTTCAGAACCAAAACAGCTCACCCTGCTCTCTTGAGGATTCCAGAACCTTCTGCACCCCTCAGAGGTTGATAAGTCCTAGGTCTGTGGAGCCCCTTCTCTGAGCTCCAGAGGTGCTGGTATCAGCTGGCAGCCTAACATTCCTTCCAGCTGCTAGGTTCTGGTGGCCTCAATTGCTCCCTTTTGTCTCCTGAAGAGACTCCCACCCTAGGCCCTTACAGTCCTCAGGTACCTCTCTCACTCAATCTTTGTATGAAAGTCTGTCCTGCCAGTGGCTGACCCTGGCTAATAGAGGGGACAGTGTCAGGAGCAGGCCAGGAGCAGATCCTAGGTGGGTCCTGGGTGGTTCTGTCATGGTCTCAGGACCATACAGGCTCCTTGCCAGTGGGCAGAGGAGGACCAACCTCATCAGGGGGTCACTGGATAGATTATGATAGCGTGCTACTGGCAGTGGAGTGCCCTGGCCAGACAGCTGCTGCACAAACTTTGACTGCAGTGAGGGTGGCCACAGCTGTGAAGCATCATGTACTTCTTTCTGCCCTTAACAGGAGAATGTGGTGAGCCTGGAGGTCCCAGCCCAGCTCAGATCCTGGCCATAGAACCTGAGGGCTTCCCTCGCACATCTGAACACATGTTTGAATTACACATGCTCTAGGAGTGTGCTAGTGGAGGGCGAGGGCTTGGAGCCTGTGACAGAGGGTGATTTTGCAGAGACTGTTCTAGATCCATTGGGTTGAGGCTCCATAGAATGTGCCAGCAACTAACTACCATGTTTCCCTGAAAATAAGACACTGTCTTATATTTATTTTTTCTCAAGAAGACACACTAGGGCTTATTTTCAGGGGATGCCTTCCTCTCCACACCAAAATGTATGGTATGGCTATGCAGATACGCTACATAGCCATGCCCATCACTAGGCCTTTTTATCAGAGTAGGGCTTATATTTAACAAATGCATAGAAATCCTGCTAGGGCCTATTTGGGGGGTAGGTCTTATTTTCAGGGAAATACAGTATATCCTCCACACTTTGCTGTCCTTCTCAACTCTTCATTTTTACATTTGTAGTTGGTGTTCCAGGCCGAGTGGCAGTTAATGCCTTGGCTGTAGGGGATCCTGGAATGGCTTCCAAACCCGCCTCTCCCATTGGGGGACCAACTCAGGTGAGAGACGTGAATGTGAAGATTCAACGTTGCTGCATTAACTTGTTCCACTCTGACAGGTTGTTTCCCAAAAGCTGCTCACTGTTTGCTATAGTAATTAAAGGCTTCTGTTTCATATAGGAGCCACATACTCATCAAGTTATGTGACTTTAGAAATGCATTTTTTCTCTGAATTACATAATTTTGATTTGAAAACACATTTTCTAATAGAAGAAATGAAACTGGGCCTTAGGATTGCAGAAATTTTTTTGTGTTTTTATATTCTTCCATAAGTCTTCCCAGCACCAGAAATGCTGCCATCTTTCGAGAAATACTTCTCACACTGGCACAGAGCAGAGCTTGTTTTCACTGTTTCACTTCTGCTACTGTTTTCTGTAGAAGAAGGACCACGTGTGTTGACATGTGCTTTGTACACGGGAGATCCCAGAGTGTTTGGTGAAGATGATAACTGGCCATGTTGCTTCTCATGTAACCACTTATCATCCCTGTTTTTGATAAAGGAGGAAAAGACCAGGCTTTTGAAAGAGCGGCTGGATCAGATCTATCTCATCAATGAGCGACGGTGTTTGCGAGCCCCAGTCTACGGGAGAGATTTGTTAGGACTTTGCTTCCTGCCTGGCAGGGAAAAGATACCCTGGCTTGGGTTTGTTGACAGCAGTCTGGACAAGGAGGCTGGGCTAGCCAGTTGCTGTGAGCCAACATCTAGAGGGGAAAGTAAGCTAATTCTGACGCTGGGTCAGTGTCGAGAGTCCCTCCAGGATGTCGTCAGCAGGTGAGTTTTTTACCTTTGTTGAGGAGGTAATTCAGCCTCCTGTATTCCTTCACTGTGTTGTTCCCCAACAGTTTCTTTCAACTTGGGGGAAGTTCATCTTACTCTTACAGCTTCTCCCCAAGTTGTCACCTAGAAGTCTGTTTGAAATCACTGTTCATGGCCAACAGCTCTGGGCTCAGATGGTCTTATTATCTGGGGATAGTCTCTGGATGGGTGACAGATCATTCTCCATCTTTCTCTTTCAAAAGAATATTTTCTGTTATGTTTGTTATGTATGTTATGTGTTCTGTTGTGTTGTGTTATGTTATGTGTTGTATTGTGTTATGTTATTGAAACAGAGACTATGTTGCCCTCAGTAGAGTGCCATGCCATCATAGTTCACAGCCACTTCAAACTCTTGGGCTTAAGCTATTCTCTTGCCTCAGCCTCCCAAGTAGCTGGGACTATAGGTGCCCACCACAGTGCCCAGCTATTTTTTGTTATTGTTGTCGTTGTTTAGCAGGCTTGGGCCAGGGTCGAACCTGCCAGCCCCAGTGTATGTGGCCAGTGCCCTAACCACTGAGCTACAGGCGCCGAGCCTCAAAAGAATATTTTATTAAAATAAGCATGTGTGATTGAATGCTGTGTGAGGAGAAATGTGTGTAGGAGTTGAACTCAGAATATGCTTTTTGTGGGGGGACACAAGGTCTTGCTGTCATCCTAGGTTTAGCCAATCCTCCTGCCTTAGCCTCCTGAGTAGCTGGGACTATAGGCACCCACTATTGCACCTGGATAATTTTTCTATTTCTTTTTTTAGAGATGGGGTCTCACTATGGTGCCCAGGCTAATCTTGTATGCCTGGCCTCAAGCAATCCTCCTGCCTCTACCTCCCAGGGTACTAGGATTACAGGTGTGAGCCACCACACTGAACCCATAATACCCTTTAGTAGAGGCAAAATCCCAGTGTTGATGGGTGCTACAGTTCACCAGATGCTGCCTCTGCATAGCTGAGGCTGTACTTGTTCTGTGGAGAGCTTGGCCTGTTTGCAGTTTTATGTGGGCTAACCTGTGTTCTCTTCACACAGGTTAGGTTAGGGCTGTGTTCCTTAGTTCCTCTGTCTACAGCTGCCTGTGCCTATTTCAGGGATTTCAGATCAGGAACAGAGTCAGTAGAGAGAAAGAAACAGAGAGTGTTTCCTCAAGGTTGAGCAATAACTCTGACTCTTCCAACCTGTATGTGGTTAAGTTCATGCCTCTTGGGCTCTGGGACTTGATTGTCTTTCGAATGCTCGTCTGCCCTTGTATGATGCCCCTTCATTGGGCATCTCGGATGACCTTGTTGGCTAGAGTGCAGTTGGATCAAGTCACAGCTTCATGTCCATAGGGAGATGGCTTTCCTGGTATAGAGTCTCTGGGGCTAGCAGCAAGTGCAGAGTCAGCTGTGAGCCTCCCCTGTGTCCTCGTCCTGTTCTCTGTAGCTTTTGTCATCCTAGTCTGGCCTTGTCCTGGTGGCACAGTAGCTGTAGCTCTCCAGGAGTATCTTTGTCCAAGAAATAGCATGCTGCCGTCCCTAATTCCTAGCTGCAGACATGAGCCTCAAACAGAATGGCCTGTTTCTGAGCCAGTTCTTGTGCTGAGGAGTGCCCTGCCCAACCTTGCAGACCTGACTTGTCTGATGGTCCCTGAGGGGGGCCATCATTGGTCAGGACTGCTTACATTCTCATGAGGTTTGCCATGAAGGGTGGTACATGCTTAGCATTCTCATCCATGGTTGCCATGAAGGGTGGTACATGCCAGCAGCCATGTCCCCCAAGATTTTAGAGGTCCTGCTATTTCATGACAGGGATCATCAGGGTTCTGCCCTCGGTCTCTGCTGGTCCACTGTGTACAGAGATGCTGAATGCCCTGTGGTGACTGAGCATTCTTTTTGCTCTCCAGGGTGGCTTGTGTGATTCCTCCAGTGGTGGCAGCACCCCCATCCCTGTGGGTTGCGAGGCCACCCCCACTGTACAGCCGCAGAATGAGGGTCTTCAGGCAGTGTCTGGAAGAGCACGCTGCCCCCTGTGTACAGCAGCTGCGTCAGGTGACTGCTCTGCGCTCGCTACGCTTCCCTGAGCTGAGGCTGGTGCAGTTTGACTCAGGTATGAGAGCAGGTCCTATCAGCCCAGTTTAGTATGTGAGCCTTCCTTGCTTCAGGTTATGAGATACAATATTATTCATTTTCTAGGAAAATTGGAAGCTCTAGCTATCTTACTTCAGAAGTTGAAATCTGAAGGACGTCGGGTGCTGATTTTATCACAGATGGTTCTTATGTTAGACATTTTAGAGATGTTCTTGAACTTCCATTTTCTTACCTATGTAAGAATTGATGAAAATGCCAACAGTGAACAACGCCAGGTAAAAAATAAATTACCTTATCATTTAAGATTCAGTTGCATTACCTTATATCACCAGTTTTTAACCTAAAAGTGTGGTATAAATTCAGTGATCTCATGACCTTTCTAAATGAAAGGGGAAGAACTTAATGAGTCTAAACTCGTTACGTCTCACTATGTCTTCAGGATGTGCTATTAAGTCAGTGCACAGTCTGTTGGTGTCTCAGGGTGAGAGCTGGTAACTGCAGTCCCTGTATGGCAGGTCTGGGGTCCTCAGGAGGCAGTTGTGAAGACATGAAACCTATCTAGAAATGCAAGTTAATGTGCCCTTTCTTTACTTACCAGATTCTCTAAGGGTATTTCGATTCCTTCAAGCTTTCATGTACTGCTGGCCTGAGTGTCCAGAAATCAGTGTGGATTGTGAACATTGACGATACATGGATGACCTAGTAATTCTATATTTAGGACTCTTTGTGTACTCAGGGATAGCAGTGGCATACCCTTTAAAGATCTGTATACACAGTTGTTGTAGAAATGTTTACAATAAGCCACAATCGTGAGCAAAGTAAATGTTTAGTGGTAGAAGACGACATATGTTAAGAGTTGTTTGTGAGCCCCTTGATTGGTGATAGTGTAAACAAATACTGTTTCCCAGCATTCTGTATGGTGTACTAAAGTCAATTCTAGAGCCAGTTTTAGTACTACAGCATAATGTTCCCAGGAGCAAATAAGCTGCTGCATTGTAGATCACATGTATGTTTTATAGCTCATCTGGAATCGCAATGCACATGCACAGGCACACATTGAGAAGGCTGAAAAGAAATACACTAAAGAGCTAACTAACAAGTTTTCTTGGCTGTAGTGTAACAAATTATATAGAGAATTTTTTGAAGGCAGTGGGTGGGTCTACTCCTAGTTTCTGTTTTGGCACAGATGAATTATAGAAGGTAAATATATTCAAGTCAAGTCATTTCTGTTTATGGTCCCTCATAAGGTAAGTGGGATCTCTCTTGGGACTTTTTTCCTGCCTCCTCAGCCTTACTCCAGGGGCTTGTGCCTGTCGAGTGCCCTGGCATTGCCTGAGGATAGACAAGCAAGCACACGTCCCTCCCCAGTAAGACTTTGCTATCTTTTGGGGCCTACAAGGTGAGCTGACAGTATATTCAAGATGGAATTCTCTTTTTGTGACCAATGGCTTGTGTTAATAAGGCAGTGGATAGGGATACTGGTGAGCAGTGAGTGAGAGATGATGCAGATGTACAGAAGACCCATAGAGAAAGCTCAAACTCTGTTACTTTATAGCACACACTCATGTCACATGGAACACAAATCAAACACTTTGGTTATGGAATAATGTCTTATCAATAAGTATTAGAATGTGTCAGAGGTTTCCTAACACATCTTGGGAACACTAACTTGGGTGTTCTGTGCCATCTCAGGAACTAATGAGGAGCTTCAACAGGGACAGGCGGATTTTCTGCGCCATTCTTTCCACTCACAGCCGCGCTACAGGCATAAGCCTGGTTGAGGCAGATACTGTTGTGTTTTATGACAATGACCTGAACCCAGTGATGGATGCCAAAGCCCAGGAGTGGTGTGACCGCATTGGGAGGTGCAAAGACATCCACATATACAGGTGACGCCCCTGCCAGGATAGCAAGTTGAGATGTGTGGGTGGGAAGCTTTGCAAAGGTGTCCAAGAACACTAATGCAAAAATAAAAGGTAGAGCTAAAATAATGTACTACAATTTAATTTTAGAAGTGTCTACTATATCTTATTTTTCCTTTGGACAAATTTATATTCTTCCTGTTTGATTTATTCTTTATTTATGCATGACATTTGCTTGAACTTATGATTCTACTCAGATAAGTTGAATCTTGCTATGTTTTTAGTATTTACACTTATACTTCCTCCAGGGTATTTAAACTTTAAACAGGCAATTTAAATTTGGGGTTGTTTCAAGTATTATAAATTGTAAATTACCTGTTAGTAAAATAGCTTTAGAAAGAACCTAAATCTGTTACCATTACTTTTATGCATAAATATGTGATTGGAGAAAATGGGGAAAGGTCTAAAATATATTTCTAAATTTCTAAAATTACGTATTGTCACAGTGTATTAAAGTGGTTTTAAATTTTCTTGCTCCCTCACTTCATGTCTGGTTGTGTGTGGAGCACAGGCCATGCTCATCACACATGCCTTTGAGTTTTCAGGTGGGGCTGAGGCTGCTTTGTGAGCCTCACAGTGGTGATCAGCCTGGGGCTAAGATGTCCTTCTGTGCTCTTAGCTGTATGCTTTCTAGCAGTACGGTAGATGCCACAGTGATCCAAATGCATATTTAAACAGCTTTATTATTATCTCTCTAATTCTAAATGCATTATACATGTTCATTGAAAAAGAAGAAAAACATATTGTGATAAATAAGGGTGTTACAGAGAGAGACCAGGCACTAACATTCAATGTTTACCTCTCCACATTTTCTTAGTTCTTTCAGAAGCTCTTACTGTCAGTCTTACTTTGTTTTCCTTTTTTCTTTCATAGTAGATAATGAGTTTACCAGTGAATATGAACTTGGTATATAGTTTATATGGAATGAATAAGATTTCATTGTGTAATCCCTTTCTAATTGTTGGCTCTTTAGAAATTACTAGCCAGAAACTGGAAAAAAAATTTTTTTTATTCTGAGTAGCCACAAAGTCTCTAAAATGCTCAGAAAGGCTTAGCAGTGAAGGAGCAGGATACTGCCATGGGGATGTGTATGATTGCATTGAAGGCCAAAAGGTGAGGCCTGCTAAGTGGAAGACACGCTGCCTCTTGGATGGTAAGACCAGTGGTGGGCAGTTTCTGGGCAGGGCTCAGTGGCTCACGCCTATAATCCTAGCACTTTGGGAGGCCAAGATGGGTGGATTGCTTAAGCTCAGGCATTCAAGACCAACCTGAGCAAGACCCTATCTCTACTAAAAATAGAAAAACTAGCCGGACATTGTGGTGGACACTGTAGTCCCAGCTACTCAGGAGGCTGAGACAAGAGAAACACTTGAGCCCAGGAGTTTGAGGTTCCTGTGAGCTATGACACCATGGCACTGCACCTAGGGTGACCAAGTGAGACTCTGTATCCAAAAAAAAAATTAGTTTCTCCAAAGTAATGTTAAAATTTAATGTCTTTTTTTTTGAGACTGAGTTTCAAGCTGTTACCCTCGGTAGAGTGCCATGGCGTTACAGCTCACAGCAACCTCAGATTCTTGGGCTTAAGTGATTCACTTGTCTCAGCCTCCTAAGTAGCTGGCACCCACCACAATGCCTGGCTATTTTTTGGTTGTAGTTGTTATTGTTATTTGGCAGGCCTGGTCTGTATTTGAATCTGCCAGCTCCATTGTATGTGGCTAGCGCCCTAGCCAAAATTTAACATCATTTTAATGAAACCCTAATCATGGGTGTGTAATACACACACACTTGAGTAAAAGGATATAAAGAGCATATTCAGAGTGAGAAAGATCTAACAGTGGCCTCTGTGGTAGCCAGTGCTGTAGGAAGGGCACCCAGGCCCTGCATGTATGGTCAGAGCTTGTGACTTGTCCTGAAAGCATCAGAACAGACAGCTCAGGGCCCAGCATAGGTGAGAATTAAATTTCGTTATGGTCAGAGGTGGTTTGCTGGTGAATACTGATGCATACTTTGCTCTCCTCATGAGAGGATGGGGCTGGAGCATTATGTTCCATAGAGTGTAGCAAAGTCCAGATGGATTAAAGACTTTGATGTGAGATGTAAAGAGATGATCTTCGAATGGTCCTTAAGAGACAGTGGCCATATCCTTGGTCTGGAAGGGCTCATGTCAACTGAACTAAGGCCTCAGAAGTAGGGGAAGACAGACCTGTTTGACTGCAGTACTGTAAGAATTTAAGTATTGCAAAAAGATGCGATGAGCAAAGTAAATAGGTAAATGATAGGCTGGAAAAATGATTTGCAATCCTCATGACAGAGAGTTGAATAACTCATAAATTGAAGAGAAAGACAAGGTCAGGCTCACACCTGTAATCCTAGCACTCAGGGAGGCCAAGGCAGGTGGATTGCCTGAGCTCATGAGTTTGAGACCAGACTGATCCAGAGCGAGACCTCGTCTCTAATAGCCAGGTGTTGTGGTAGGCATCTGTAGTCCCAGCTACTTGGGAAGCTGAGGCAAGAGAATCTCTTAAACCCAAGAGTTTGAGGTTGCTGTGAGCCTTGGCACACTCCTGAGGGCAACAAATTGAGACTCTGTCTCCAAAAAAAAAAAGCTCTCCTTATTTTAAAAAAGAAAGGGCAAGAAACTGTGGATGTGAACAGTCTGTTCTAGGTGGCCAGGAAGCATGAGGAAGTGCCCTAGCTCATGGGGAGGAAGAGGAAGTACAGGTTCATTGTCCAATGAACTGTCTCTCTACATGCACCAATCAGGTGTAACCGTGAAGGGAAGGCAGCTACTCAGACTGGTGCGAGTAAAAGTGAGTGGAGCATGCGGTTGCTTTAGCTTTTTCTGAAAGGAATTTGTCAGGGTCTGTGGAAATTAATTTGACACTTGTCCTTTGTCCACAATATAAAACTATGCCAAGGGATCTGTTTTTGTGGTCTATAGATGCTTGTCGTCACATGGCATGAGGCAGGAACCAGGGAATGCCAGTCACCCAGGGGTGCAGAACAGGCAGCAGGAAAGTGAGCTCATTTGGAGGGATCTCTGTGGTCCACTGTTGAGTGAGGAGGGCAGACTGCAAGGACATGTGTGTTGGGGTGAACGTTGTCACATGCCATCATGCACAGGAGTAATTCTCTGTGGACAGGGAGGAGGTGTGGAACTGTGCATCCTAAGGTGTTATTGTTGATACTGCTGCCCAGAGAAAGAGGTTAGGAGAGGCCAGCAGCACCTTCCCAAACAACAGTGAAGCTGTGTCTATAAAATAGGCATCCCTTAAATGTATGCCTTCACACATGTGAAGTGTTGTCTTTTTGTTATAACGAAAAGACAAAAGACAATACCTGTGAACTAAGGCAGGTGAAAACACAATCACCACATTTTAGTAGCTATCTCTGGGTAATCACACAATTTGTTTTCTTTTCTTTTTTTCTTTTTTTTTTTTTTTGAGACAGTGTTTCACTTTGTCATCCTCAGCAGAGTACTGTGGTGTCATAGCTCACAGCAACTTCAAACTCTTGGGCTCAAGTGATTCCCTCGCCTCAGCCTCCCAAGTAGCTGGGACTACAGGTGCCCGCCACAATGCTTAGAGATAGGGTCTCGCTCTTGCTTAGGTTGATCTTGAATATGTGAGCTCAGGCAATCCACCTGCCTCTGCCTTGCAGAGTGCTAGGATTGTAGGCATGAGCCACCATGCCCAGCCTCAGATTTGTTTTCTTCTTTATACTTCACTTTTTTTTTTTTTTTTTTGAGAGTCTCACTTTGTCACACCTGGTCTCACTGTAGCTGAGGCTGGTCTTGAACTCGTGAGCTCAGGTCATCTTCCTGCCTCGGCCTCCCAGAGTGCTGAGATTACAGCTGTGCTTGTTTACACTTTTATATAAACAAATTATTTATAGCAAACATGTATTAATATCAAGAAACAGGAGGTTTTCATTTAAGGGGCCATGAAGGTCTCCCAGGTGTTGCTCTGCCATTTGTTAGGTTGTTCTTCCTTTCTTCATGTTGCTGTTCTCCTTTATCGTCTATTTACTTCTTTTGTATGTGTCTGGGTTCCTCTAGTTATTTTCTGTTCTGTTCCCTATGTCTTTATTTCTATTTAGTATTTAGGTTCCTTTAAATTTGGAATTTCCTGGAAAAATTCTGTTTGTTCTTCTCTTCTCTATGAGAACTTTGCTGAGCATGAGTCTTGTGGATGTTGGCTGGCTGAGCCTGGGGCTGTGGGCCACACGTGGGCCTACTTTGCTGTCTGCCTGCAATCTTGGGAAGGCAGGTGCCTCTCTGCCTCTGTCCCATCATCCTCTAGTGGGATCAGCTGCACTATTAATTTGGCATCTGCTGTGGCCCTGGCAAACATGCAGGGGATACAAAGATGAAAATGTCCATGATTATATGAGAGTGAGACACCTTTCACAAGTATCTTAAAAGCACTGTCAATGAAGTGATCAGCTCTGCCTATGGGGCTCTGACGAAGCCTCAGAAGAGTCAGAGGTGCATCTGCAAGGACTGAGTGTGGCATTTCTGGGTTGAGGCTGGAGGGATAAGCACTGTTGGCAAGCAGGCCTATGGGGTGGAGGTAGCGTGAAGGCTTCAGGGGCAGCCTGTTGTGCTGAGATTTGTTGGGGTGGGGTGATGAGAGGATGGTCTTTGGCTCCCCCTTAGTGAGTTGGGGGCAGGCAGGGAACAGGACTAGACAGGTGTGGTCTTACCAGCTGCCAGCTCCACACTTCTCCTTGGGTGTGGTGTCAGCGTATGTCCAGGGGACTTACTGTTATGTCTGTCTTTCTGTGTTTTGTTTGTAGGCTTGTGAGTGGCAATTCCATTGAAGAGAAATTGTTGAAAAATGGAACTAAAGATTTGATCCGAGAAGTAGCTGCTCAGGGGAATGACTACTCCATGGCGTTCTTAACTCAGGTACTCTTTGTTTGTTAAGGATTCTGAGGGTGAGGAACGCCACACAGTGAATGGGATCATGCTATTTTATTAGACATTAATGAGGAATGATTGCCTAATAGTTTTCCAGGTACTTAGCTCTCAAGTTCAGGTCAGTCATAGTGTCACGTCTTTTGTTACTAGAGAATAACGTGCATATTTGTGTGCAGCGAACCATCCAGGAGCTGTTTGAAGTTTATTCCCCCATGGATGACACTGGCTTCCCAGTAAAAGCTGAGGAGTTTGTAGTGCTTTCTCAGGAGCCTTCTGTCTCGGAAACCATTGCCCCCAAAATCGCAAGACCTTTCATAGAGGTAAGAGTAAGCTTTGTTCAACAACTCAAGCAAGGTTGTTAGAGGAGGACCAAACCTGCCTGGGTTCTTGCCTGCACCTCTCTGTGGCTGTGCCCCCACCCCTGCCTAGCAGCCCTCCTTCTTTTCCTCTTCCTTTTCTTCTGTTGTGGGCACTTTGAACTATAAATAAGAGTAAAAGGAGCGTGGTAGGGTGTGGGCCTTGCATCTCTGCTGCCCAGTGTCAGTGCCACCATCATTTTCCTGACGCTTACCAAGCTGTGCTTAATACCCTACCAGTCTGAAGTCCTTCCCCTCACTGTGGACATCTGCCAGCCCTCCCATCTCCTGTGATTCTGCTGGTGCCCCCCCCACCCCAGGAGACGGCCATCTCAGCTTATTCTCTCTGGATACAGCAGCTGCCAGCCCCAGTGCTGCTGTGTTCTAGAAACAAGGCCACCTGTGTGGCAGACACCTGAGGTGTGGAATATTTGGCCTGTGTCAAAGACCCAGTGCAGACGGGAACACACTGTCTCATGGGTAGTTTTCTATGTTGATTACATGCTCAACTGATAACATTTTGGATATTGTGGTACATAAACATTTTGCCATTTTAATGTGGGTATTAAAAGGTCTTAGATTGCATGTGTGCTGTGTGAGCATCTCCTGGGTCCTTGCAAAGACCACTGCTCTCATCACCTCAGCTCTTCCCAGGACTTTCATCTCATCTCTCCCTCACTTTCTGAATTCCTTCCTTTTTACCGTAGCCTCACATCAAGGGAAGGGGTTTCCTTTTCCTCCAAACCTTGTTTGGGGCCCTTGTTTCTGTGCCTTTTGCATCAGAAGGACCAGTGTCCTGTCCCCCTCCTCATGTCTGGCTGCAGTGTATGGCTGCAGTCACTTCTCCACTTACTTTCTTTTCTTTGAAGACCATACCACATTTGAGGCTCAGCCCTTGGGCCCCTGCCCCTGAGGATACCAGACCATGTGTGAGGCACAGTCTTCAAGCAGTTGCCCATGAAGCAGCTCCTGTGGTGGCCACCCCTACCCCTGTAGTCAGCTTGTTCTTGCCAGCACTGCTGTTGAGTAACCATCTCTTCTATTTCTAAAATGACTTGTTTGGTTATTGGAGTAATAATGTGTGAGGTACAGCTGTCTCAGTCCATTTCATGTGGCCCTAAAGGAATACCTGAGACTTGATAATATTATAAAGAAAAATGGTTTATTTGTCTTGTGATTCTTGTGGCTAGAAAATTCCATACTGGGCGTCTGGTGACGGCTTCAGGATACTTTGCTCCTGGCAGGTTGAAGGGAGCAGCATGTGCAGAGATTACGTGGTGAGAGAGAGGGAGTGGGGAGGCGCCAAGTGCTTGTAGGAATTATTGAAGCAAGAACTCACTTGCCCTCAGCCCCAAGCTTTGAGTTGTTCGAGAGGGATCTGCTCCCACCTCCAATGCTAGGACCAAATTTCAGCCCGATACTTGGAAGGGACAAATATCCAGACCACAGCCAAAGTCTTTGAGAAGTCATAATGAGAAGCCAGTCCCGTGCAGAGACAGCCACTACCAGAACTTGCACAGGGGTCCTTCCATGGGTTTTCTGTGTGTAATTTCCCCTCCACAGAGACACCTTATAGATATCTCTTTGTTAGGAGGTGCAGTTTCATTGTGTTTACAAAAGGTTGTACATTCATGAGGCTGAGAAATTCAAACAACACAAAGGATGGTGGGAAAAATAGATTCTCACCCAGAGGTAACCATTTAATCCTTACTTTTACACATGTCCTTGAGGAAAAATGCAGGACCTGAAGATTGTGGGTGCATGTGAGCATGGACTGTGAGCGTGTCACACATACCATGCCTGTGAGTGTGTGGAGTGACCATGTCACACACTGTGTGTGAGCATGTCATACATACTGTGCTTGTGAGTGTGAGGTAAGCACGTCACATGCACTTGCTGTTTCTCCTTAACAAATTCATCTTGGGGGGGGG